GACAGCGCGAGTTGAGGGAGCTTAACAAGTGGCTCCGGAGCTGGTGTCAGAAGAAAGGTTTTGGTTTCCTGGAGAACTGGGCTGACTTCGCAGTCGGCTAACGGCTCTTCAGCCGAGACGGGCTGCACCTTAATGGGGGAGGTGCAGCATTCCTGGGGGGGAAAATGGTAGAAAGACTGGAGGAGCTTTTAAACTAGAAAGTGGGGGGGAGGGTATAAAAATAAAATTACTTAAACTAAACGTTGATAATTTAATCATAGATAAAAATAACACAGAAAGTAGTAAAAAAGGAGTTAATAATAGTGGGCTCACTCCAGTCAATATAGGAAATCCGTTGGCACATGTAAGTATAACTAACAACGGACGACCGAAATCAAGGCAGAATAATAACAATAAAAATAGTGGGGAACAACAAGGTAGTAAACTTTTGTCCCACAAAAAGAGAGGAATTAAATGTATGTACACCAACGCTAGAAGTCTGGCAAATAAAATAGAGGAGCTTGAAATTAGGTTAATTGAAGAGGACTTCGACATAGTGGGTATAGCGGAAACCTGGCTGAACACCACGCATGACTGGGCTACTAATATAGAGGGGTATAACCTGTTTAGGAGGGACAGAGGTGGGAGAAGAGGGGGGGGTGTTTGCATTTACGTAAAAAATTATCTAAATGTGCATACACGGGACGATATCACGTCAAATAATGGGGAAGATTGAAAAAGTCCAGCGGAGGGCAACCAAACTAATTAGGGGTATGGAGGACCAGAGCTACGAGACAAGGCTACTCAATTTAAACATGTTCACATTGGAGGTGAGGAGATTAAGGGGGGATATGATCTCCATGTACAAAATGTTCAATGGTGGTGGAAGCTGGGTTCAGGAATCAGTCAAGTGCAGGTGACGAAATACTGAGCCAGCTTCATGACTGCAGGGAGGGCCTAAATACCCTCCCAGGAAGCACCAGGTGATGGGATGATCACTCACAGCTGGGGCACACCCGCAGGTGAGTACTGGAGCTGCAGGTTCCTTACAGTCCCTGGCTGTTTGGAGACACCCGCAGGCGAGCACAGGAACTGCAGGACCTGGCTCCAGCGCCACCTGGGGGTGCTCTGGATCCTGACACTACTTTATAAATATGCCACATAGACTCTTTCTTTGTGGCTTATAAGCTTTATAAGGGGCATGTTTATAAAGCAGTTAATCTGACATTCACCAAACATTCATGCAGGTGAATCTTTGTGTTGCATGTGTTTAATTTATTAGTTAAAGGAGAACTATGAGATTAGTGATTTCCACTCACCTCATAGTTCTAAGCCGACCTGTGACAATGAGACTGTCACAGGTCGGCTCAGTAGATCGGGAGGTGAGGGAACACATACCGGGTTCCCTCACCTCTCGAT